GCTTAGCTAACTGGAAAGTAAAAAACTGTGTTATAAAAAAATGTTAATTTATTTATTGTGAAAATGCAAAGAGCTTTTACATGTAAAGCTTTAAATGTAAATCGTGTATGTAAATAAAATACGCATAAATTTCTGTTGTTTGTTTATATGTTTTTTATGCCTTTGGACTGCTAAACCATTAGCTTTATAGGGTGGGCGTTATATCAAATCAGTGCACGCTGCTTAAAGGCAACGCCTTCTTATTTTTTCTAGCTAGTGCCACGCCCATTTTGTTGCTTCATTAGTGCGTCGTCGTCAGTTTGAGTGATGTGCCTGGGTTCTTAACGGCGACTCTCGCACAATTCGCTATAAATTTGCATTTATGCAAATCGCCCTGCATTCGAGGGCTTTCACTTTAACTACTTTCACTGCAATGCCAGAGGCTCGCGGGTGACTGCGCGTCTAAGCGAAGTGCCCGCCGGGGCCCCTTCCACGCCCACAGGCCACCTGCTGTAAAACTAACTAACTACCGTAAACTCCAATTGTGAGCAGCGTTGCACTTGGCAACGTTTTATGTTTAATTTATGCGCTTTTTTTTTTTAGTATTTTTCTCTGGGATCTTGACTTGAAATTTATTACTGTTCTCTCTGCGCGCGCAGTAATTTTCGTTTTTCAAATTTAGTGACTTTCACTTTTCCACCTTTCCAAAAACAATTTTTGCATGTTTCTCGGCAATTTTGTTGATGTTGTTGTTATTGTTGTTGTTTTCCATTGTTGCAAGTTGATTTTTAATTAAAATTTCGCTGGGTTGAAATTTATTTTATTTTTTTTGTTTGTGGTTGGAGGACGCCGCCGTTTTAATGTTGATTTTATGCAAATGACAATTGATTGAAAATTTTAGCTGTGTGTAAAAGAGAGACAGAGTGTGTGTGTTCGTGTGTGTTGATTGAAGGCATATTAAAATAAATGAAGGCATACACCATAATGGCCATAATATGCCATAAACAATTACCATTTAATATATTATTGCTTGTAAATATGCAGCTATTGAATACACACGCATACCCATTCATATATATATATAGATATTTTGCATATTTATAGTTTTGCATTTATAAACAATTATCTCGCTTACACAAGGCAAACACACACACACACACTGAGCGCGACAAAAATGCAAGACAAACAAGCTAATTATCAGTGGGGTAACGTACAGACAATAGCAAAGGGGAGAGTAAGGTAAATAATATAAAAGCGAATTTAGATAAAAAGATTTGTTTCTTCTGTTTTTAAAATGCAAAGAGGCAAACGTTTGTTTAGATGTCCAGATCTATTTATAAATGGAGCGATTACAAATCAAATTAATTTCAGATTTTTTTATGTTTATTTATTGAGAATAATGTTGGTTTGCTCCCATTTTATTCTTCAAATTTTTGCTATTTATTTATGTAATTTAATAAATTTTTATACATACTTAACATTTAAGCCGCTTGCGCTAATTACAACATTTATGTATTAAGCACAATTTTATATATTTGTCGTAATAATTTGCCAGCTTAAAAAAAAAAAACAAGATGAAAAAACCTTTATCTATCTTGCTTGAACTCGTTAATTTTATAAATATTTAATTTGATAATTATATGAAACTTGCATTAAGCTATAAACCCCTCACAGACTACGTCCATGGTAATAAACCGCATTAATCTTTGTCATTGTTTGATTAAATCAATTAAATTTTCCAATACAACACAGAATGGCACAGGCACGGCACACACACAGACACACACACACACACATCCATCTATAATTATGCTTGGCCATAATTGCGTTGGTCATTTAAACGCAAATCCCGTGGAGTTGTCCCCCGCCACCAAAATGTCAGGCAACATTTGGTCCGGCACGCTTTTTGTCAATCGCAAATCGATCCAATTGAAATTTCAAGCTGCCTGCATGTTGTTGTTGTTATTATTGTTATTGATGTTGGTGTTGTTGCTGTTGTTTCGGTTGTTGCCGTGGTGTCGCCTGGCAGCCTTTGAATTGAATTTCCCTGTCATTGGTTTGCAATTATTACTAAGAGCGCCTGCCAGGCACACCAGACCCAACTGTTCAGCTAATCTACACAAATCTGACGCACAGCTGACCACGGCCCAAAGCTGTAGTGGTTGCTATAGCTGTGCCACCAGCCATAGCTCCACCGAACCATTTACCCCATCATTCTGCACTCGTGTATGTGTGTGTGTGTAAGGGGGGTTAACTTGTCGCGCGACATGAAACGATTAAGGCAGAAATGCTTTTAGCCATGCTATTGGCTTCTGGCTTTGGCTCTGAGGTGTTTGCCCGAGTCGCTACGCCGGGTTGGTCATTATGCGGGGCCTGTGTGGCTGCTTGGGTGCATTTATATATATATAAAACACACATATATATATATATATCGTGTGATTGATCACAATTTTCGAAAGTAATTAGAGGAGCATGTGGCCAGCGAAAGACCCCACAGAGACGCCAGGCTTTAGTATAGGGAAAAGCATTAAACGTAATTACTCTGTAAATAATTCGATGCGTTCCGTGTCCAGAAGTGTCAGCTATAAGGTGATAGAAGCCATTAGAAACGGGCTATCAAAATATTAACTTTAATGCAGATAAGCTGCATGAATCGACAAAGTAAGAATGTAATTTAGCAATGTAGCTGTGCCTAAATAGAGACATGGATTTATTTTTTCCAAATTTTATAAATATTTATTGATTATCGAGTTGTATGCATGAAAAAGGAACTTTTACCGAGCTGGACCTTAATGTTTTTCATTATAAATCCAAAGATACATATTAGATTTGCAATTGGAATTTAAAAAGTTACCTGTATAGTTTAATTTAATTTAATATTCGCTTACCAATAATATTAATTTTTGGAATAATGTACAATTAATTGATACACCTTCATTGAATATATTCGCTCAAACGTGTTTTGCAATAATTAAATTAACATATAAACATCTTTGAGTCGAGTCGAAACAACATTTGCATCAATTCAAATTATTATTTTAATTATAAGCTCAAATAGACTCTGGTACATTTATTTGCTATCCCCAGACTCAACTTCTATATTTCAAGTTATTTGCGTTTACTTTTGGCTATAAATCAAGACTGGGCATCATTCCATTGGCATCAACACAATCATATTCATTATGAGCTTGATACACACATTAAAATTCAACATTGAATTTAATTAACCTTGCACCCTCTTGACACGTCGCCAGTGTCTGTCAAGTAATCAGTTTTCTTTATGGAGCCTGTAATTTCAATGGTTAATGCCTCTGAGGCGCTATGCGCAACCCCAAAGGCTATGCGTTAAGGCTAGGACAGCCATTAGAAACCACATAGTGGCACACGCTGCAGAAGCTGGAGAAGATTGCCGGCGTCGTCGCCTTTTCGTCTTTGGGTGCCAATAATGACAACAAACATATGCACGAGCGGCGGGAAACAATAAGCAGCAGTCCAAACTTAACGACAACTAAATCCAATTATAAGCACTGAGCGCAACAGGAGCTGCACTGGGCGACAGGATAACATTGAACACGTGTGCGTAACGAATTTTCAACAGATATGCTCGCCTGTTTCTGTGTAAGTGTGTGTGTGCGTATGTGTGTGCTTGGCCCTCCGGGGGTTGCTTTGGGGGGGTTGGCTTTGAATGCGGTTCTGCTTTTGGTCTCGGTCTGCATTGCATTGCATCCCGCAGTGTTGCATAAAGGTTTACTTTTCATTTATGAGCCAGACAAAGGAACAACCCTTACAAATGCGTTGCACAAAGGAGGTCCTGCATATAGTTTCCCTGCGTGTGTTGCGTGTGTGTGTGTGTGTGTGCTGCTGCTGTCCCACCCACCATCAGCGAAAAATTGTAATTAAACTTAATCCGCTCAATTTGAAACGCATGCCAAGCCAAAAGTGCCTCTCTCAATATGCTTCCTGTGCCCTGGATTGAATTTTACCCTGAAATAAAATGTATAAAGAGCGTACACAACTTGCCGACAGCTCAGTATGGGCATACTTTTTTATAGTTTTATTTTTTTGAATAATAGTGAACTCAAAGAAATCAATGGCAGATGGAGAAAGAATAAAAATAGGACTTAATAAAGTTTGCGATTGTTTATATTATTTTTTTTTTTAATTTTGTTGAATTTTATATTAATTCTTCAAGTAGTTTATGCTATTTTCTTAAAACAATAGCTATTTTATTTTTGTTTCTATTTCTTTTGGTTGAATTTATTTAGTACATCTTTTCATAACAACAAACTACAATTTTTTGAAGAACTTCCGAGATTGATTATTATCATAATTACAGGGTATGTAGAAATTGCACAGTTTGTATTGCCATTTACTTAATTTTAATTAAAACTGTCAGAAAAAGGATTCTGGAATCCGTGCAGTTGCCCAAATGCGTTCATGTGTTAAAAAATGTGCATAAATTATTGAATTAGTGCGTTTGCAACAAATTTCTCTCGTTCTTCTCTTCTCGCTTTCTCTCGCTTTCATTTGTCGCTGCTACAGTTTGTCTCTGAGCCAATTTTCATGCTGTTCGTTATTAATATAAAATTTTAAAGCATAAATTAAGGCGCCAGAGCCACACTTGCTTATAATTTATGCATGGCGTTGACTTTGGTTCAGTTCGGTTCGGTTTGGTTTTCATTTATTTATTTATAACACTCGCTGCCAACTGCCAAAGGGCTGCGGCAATTAGTTCCAAGATCCTTGGGGATGTTTTAATTATCGTATTGTATATATTTTTTTGTTATTCCATTATTGTATTTGTTGTTGCTGCTCTGCGATTTATGCGAACGATTTAATAATGCAAATTAATTCAAGCGTTTCCTTTTTTCGGTTTTTTTTTTTTGGGGTTATCATTTGGGCGGCAATTTTCTTTTGTAGCTTTTTGTTTGTTGGGTTAGGTTTATGGCTGTGATTTGATTTATATATTTTTTGAGGTGGGCGTGGCAGAGCATCGCCAGCTTATTTGATTTATATGAGAGATGTACAAGGCATGTCAAGAACACAATAAAGGGGAGTACAGGTGGCGTAAAGGGCCCTCAGATTTATATGTTGTCGCAGAGGAATCAATGTGTGTAGCTTGAATGTTATGATTGGGTCCGATTTAGCAAAATGTGTTAAATTTCATAAAAGAGTGGAATACAAATATATGTAGTCTTAGAGCCACCGTTTGAATGTGATTGGCTGACAACAATCAAAACATATCACACAAAGATTGCTAATATCTATCAAATTTGAGATTCTGAAGAAACGATTAGTCGAGTGTCATTATGAGTATTACGATTTCAAATACTAAATTTGACATATCTTATCAATATTTAGTTTAGAAGGTTACCCCGCGCTTATCAGCAAGTGATTCCCTCTGACAACCATCAGAAGCATATATAAACACCAAACCTATCAAAAATCTACACAGTTACCAGACAGTTATAACAATCCATTCCCCAACGAAACTTATTGCTTTAACGCTGATTTTTGCCCAGCTACTGGGCACCATTTATTGCGGAGTGTACGATAATACGGACCGCTGGGTCCTCTCGGATAAGTCGCAAAACTTCCCTGAAAACGCAGTTCTCGGTGGCATCGATTCATACGGCTATGAAAACTACGTGGGACGCGTCGTTTATTCAAGCTCGATTCTGCCGGCCCGTGTTAGGTCCGAAACTGGGTACACTACCTACAACACCGACACACTCGCTAATCAGGCAACCTCCTACGAGTTGCTGGTCGCCAATGAGACCGTCAGCTATCACTGGGTGCGCAGCTACGATGGCTTCAGGGAAAGGAATGCTGTTTCTGTGGGCACAAGCACCTTGAATGAACGTGTTTACGTGTGCCGCGCCAGAACTGATGGCGGTATATTTATTGGCACCCTGTATCTGTCGGAAAAGGTGTGCTTTATTCGGTATGAGAATTTCCCTATGAGACAGATCAGTAAATACGAGGTACTGGTCCGACAAGTTACACCTGCAGCTAGGGCACCATTCGTCAATCAAATCAATTGATAAGATTGCAAACGAACATTTTAAAATACATTGTTTTTATTAATAAACTGAGCTAAATCGAGACACAAATATTTATCTTCTCTCGAAAAATGTGGTGTTTGTATTTGTTATAGCGCTAATGTAAAATATAGCTTTGAAACTCGGGATCTTAACATTTCTTCTATTAAAAGACAATATTTCATAGAGTTGGGCTGAAATGAAATATATCACAGTTGCTGTATATTCATACTGAGTATCTCCCGAGTGGGCATACCCTATGTAATTGTCTTACTCTTTTTTAAGGCAATATGATTTGAATAGTGTCATTGTATTCTTAAAACTACCATTTCCATCTGATGATATATTTTAGTCACATTGCGTTTACTCCTTATAAATATTTTAAATGTGTTACAAATTGCGACAATAAACAAACAAAGTTAATTTTTTTTTCAACGTTCTGCTGTCTTCAGTTGCCTGCGATGCACTTGGCACGTCCCTCTACAAAAGCAACAACAATAATAGTGCACTGTACTCCTAAGTCTTGGTCCCCCAGTCAACATTCCTGTTGGGTACTTTCAGGTCTGGTCGGGTCTGGGTCGAGTCTGGTCTGGTCTGAATGCCTTGGTACGTTTTGTAGCACAAGTGTTTTGTAGTTTTGCAGTGATTTCATTAAAATTTTACTGTCATAGTAAAAGTTTTATTATGAGCACGAGTTGTTTTTGCTGTTGCTGCTGCAAACGTGAGCCAAAAACAATTCCCGGCACATGCCAAAAATATTATAAACACAACAGACAGAGACAGAGACACAGGCACACAGTCAAAAGTCAGGCAAAAGCTCGTTCAGTTTATATAGTAATTATGTTGTTGTTGCTGTTGTGCTGTCCAGACTTCATGCTTTGCGCCTAGGCATGCATATGCAACAAGCTGCAGCAGTAGCAGCAGAAGCAGTAACAGCAGCAGTAGCAGCAGCAGTAGCAATGGCAGTTACATAAAAAACGGCTGCATGCACTGGGGCGTCTTTGTGTTTATTCTCAGTACCCATTAAAATTAGAGTGTGAAGGGTATTATAAACTTGTGCTAATATGGGGATATATATAACTCTGCCGGATTGATGATATATAATATATAGCTGCCAAAGAAACGAAGTGTTGTTTACATTTTCGATGAACATACGAAATATTTTGCCTTTTGTTTGCAAGGGTATTTCGACTTCGGCACACCGATAATATTTTATTTATATCTTTGCTCAGTCTAACACCTTCTGCTCCCAGCGCTGGCGGAGTTTTGCACAGTTTATGCTGCCTGCTTTTAGGCTAATGTGCTCATTTTATGCAAGCGTCTCCCTTGCTGCACGTTGCACGCTGCAAGCTGGAAACTGTGCGAAGGGATTTTTATGCGAGCATCAGCCCGCCAACCAATGCCACCCACCGCTGCACCTCTTGCCTGGCGGCAACTTTATATTGTTTGTTGTTGCTGTTGTTGTTATTGTTGTTGATGTGGCACACTGCCAAATGCAACAGCTTGTGTTTATAATTGAAATAATTGCAAAAAGCAGACATAATTATATTCTTATTCTTATTGTTGTCGTTGTTCTTGTTTGCGTTGCCTGCATTCTATTGTATTTTTTTTTTATGTCGCTCATCATCATCATTGTCGTCGTCTGGGACCGAGAGTGCGACTTAGCATCAGCCTCGAGCTGTAAGTTTATAAAGCATAGTTTTTTGTGCTTTCTGTACTGCACTGGGCATATTTGCTGAGGACAAAGCTATGTAACATGCTCATGCAGGCATTTTATAGTTTATGTCCGCACGATGGCTGGTAATTGTCAGTATATATTTAATTTCTGTACTTTTTCTAGGGCATGTTGAGGTCGCTCACACCTTTTGATCGAAATATTTCTTTTGTTTAGCCTACTTAAAGGCTTTTCATTTTAATTGCACAGCATGTACATGAAAAGCTGGGCTCATTTCCAAGCAATTACTTTAAGGCCTCGTCACGTTGCAGACTTAATCGTTAAGCCGCCTTTGGGCGCATTAGTCGCAACAATTTTCGGGGTATGGAGCTAGCCACAGCGCCTAATAATCAACCCTTTTGCAGCTGAACAAATATGTTTGCTAGCGGGTGCCTAAATGCATGCAGAGCACACATTTTGGCCAGGTAGAGCCATGGGGCTTTTGCCTGGCTGGCCAACCTGCCAACCGAGCAGATAAACTTCAAAAAGCGCCTTGAAAAGCGGCTTAAAACTTCTTCAGGCGAAACGGTCCTTGGCCGAAATGAAACTCTATGACAACATTGACAAAGGCATCGCCAGCTGCGCGGCAGGAACTAAAGCAGAAATTAAGCATTGCCATGGAGGCGCCGTCTATGTGAGATGATTGATTGAGCTTTTAGTTAAATTGCGCAAGCGGCCAGCTGAAGCGCATACAAGTACAAGCATCTTAGTGAAAAGTTTCAGTGCCATTTTCCCCTACCTACCCGCCCATAATATCCCTATTTGCTTACCTCGTACTCAGTTTAAACTTCGAAGTCGTTGGCAAAGCAACAGCTTCGGGCTTATGTCTGGCATGTACCGAAAATTATTTGTACGTCAGCTTCGCTGGGAGTTTATCCTCCGTCCGATTCTCTTAATTCTCGACTTCTCATACCCTTCAACATGTTATAAGTTATTCATTTCGTAGATAATTCTAATTAGCAGAATGATGAGATTTAATATAGTTCTGTTTGCTAGATCAACTATTCTTAATAGTAGAGTGTTTAATTTTTTAAAATTCAATTAAAATTAAGCAATTAAATAAGGCAGATTAATTTGTCAAAATTAACCAACAATTTATAGAAAAAACTAATTTATTTATTTTTATTTTTCATATATTTTTCAATAATAATAATAATATTTATATGACAATGGATTTCGTATAACAGGCATTTAAAATAAGTCAAAAATTTAACTTTCCCCGGACTTAAGAGAGTATGTAACTAGTCTGTGCTTGGCAAAGATAATCATTCTTGTGCTACCTTTCGCCAAAAATGTTGTTGCTTCTTTTTGGTTAGTTTCGCGCTAAAAGTTCAACTTTGCCTGGGCTTAAAATAATAAGCGGGCGTAAAATGCGCCTAATATTTAACTTGATAGGCCGCAGAGCCTTTCAGCCGCCCAGCCACCTCTTGCCTTTGCCCTCTCTAAGCCACAGCCATTGTCAGCTGTGTTTGTCATAAGTTTTCCGTGAGTGGGCTGCCAGTAATAATCAAAAGTTTTGTTTGCCTGACCCACGTGTGCTTGCTTGAGTTTAGCATTAGTGTCATCCTCGAATTCCAATATTTAGTAGAGGAATCTATTAGTGAATTACTCTGAAGCAACAATAAGAACAAGGTACAAACATTGACATTTAATTCCCCGCGAACGAAGAACTTTATCAACTGCCGCATAATCCAGCAAATTTTTTAGCACTTAAATTTGTACATGGCCCGAAACTTTTCTTTTCTCTTTTCTTTTTTTTTTTCACGTTGCCTACTTCGGGACTGCTAATCCCTAAACTGTCGCAAAACTTTTGTGGCAGCAGCAACCAACAACAACAACAACAATAAAAATAGCAGCAGCAAAAAGAAAAAAGGAAAAGGAAAATGAAAAAAAAAGGCCAACAAAAGTTTTGCAACAGATAAAAGTGCAAAGTTTGAGGGAAAGCAAGACAACAAAAAAGGCAAGCCAGGCGAAAATTACAAACATTTTCAATTATCAAGCCAAACAAGGACGTTGACGTATTGTCTGGGCTCTCATTATGCCATTACCATCATATAATTACAGCCTGATTATTGTTTATTAAGTTAAAATGGCGCCGCGGCGTGTTGATAAATGGCTCTGAGTTGGGGCTTTTGTCCGGACTGTACCTGTGCGGCGTGTCCATCAAAACTGGCGACCGCCACTGCTCACCTGATGTCAGTTATCAAAGGGTTGCACACCAACTCCCACCTGAGCTGGAGCAGCAGCATTCAGGCTCTGTATTTCGCATTCATTTTTCAAAAACACCTTGCGGTAGGCAGCATTAAAATTTCGTTAGTTTTCTTTTGTTTTTTTCCCTTCCTTTCGCAATTTTTAAATGTCACTGTCAACGCGTCTTATGAAAGGTTCTCGTTTGATTGAAGGCAATTAGAGGAATTGGGTAGAAATGTTTTGCTGTATCTTTTAACATTGTGAGAGCAGATGATTTCGCTCCCTACGTATCCCCGGGGGACTTTAAATTAATTAATCACATTAAATGCTTTGCGGGCTAGCCCCAAAAAGTAAAAACGTTGTCAAAGCAAACTATTAAGATCAAAGATAATGCGCAAAAATAATGATGCTAAATGTTGGCACAATTATGACTCGCTGTCCCCACTAATGGATGTGATAAGTGGGGGGCTTGGGAGTTCTCCCACGCAGAGTGTCTGATGTTCAGTCGTCGTGGGCATAGTCTGCCAAGACGGCATTTCAATTAATTAAATAAGCTCCTAAAATGTTGGCGCATGTATGATGATAATTATGGTACAACAAGACGAGATGTGCTTAGAAAGTTCTGGCTTTGAATAAATATATACTTATATACTTCTAAACAGTATAATACGTAGAAACAATCTATAGTTAATATGTTTATTTAACTGCTTGCTGAACATATTAAATCCAATATTCATTTAAACTTTTCATATCAACCCTTGTAGATTCTTTCGGTATTTATTCAAATAAATTCTGTTTGTTCTGTTTGAGGCCCAAATAAATCAGTGTAGTCGTGCAGAATGTCCTTTTGAAAATGAATACAATATGAACAAAAATAAAATTCAAAACTTGGTTCCCATTGTGCTGGAACCCGCTGTCAAGTTAAGACGAGGAACTGAAACAGTGCAGAAGAATAACAAATTGCCACAAAGAAAATGCATTCGAGTGTTAATAAACTTGAATACAATGTTCTGATGTAAACCCTTTTTTTTACCAAGGTCAAGTTATCATTGGTTCATTACAGTCTTGATTTGATTTCAATTGTGAATTGGTGCAGGGGCAGGGAAGGACTCTGAGA